TTATTTCAGTTAAACCTGCCATTTAATGAAGATTTTCATTTACTGACTCAGTAAAATTTCTATATTTGTATGATACATTATAGTAGATAAAAAAAAAAATGTCTTGAGGTTCTTACTATAACAAAAAAGATTTTTTAAAGTCTAATCCTTAAAGCTAGCATTACAGAGAGATAAATTTTTCATGGTTTTATGTGAAACTAACGTTGTTTAACACCTCCATTCGATTGTTGCTTATTTACGTAGAATCAAGATGTGGTACATTTAATGCTGCCGTCTGAGGAAGAAGAAAGAATTATTTCTGTTTACTTGGGTGTAGCTTTTGTTCTGAAGGTAACGGTTATTTTCCTACGTACCTTTCTGTAATAATATTAAATGAATTGTATTAAAGTCCAGTTTCTTTAAATACAAAAAAAAATTATTAAGATGACTTGATGTTCACCGTAGCGCACTATTAGGAGAAACGGCTTTAAAGTTTCATTTAAAAAGCAAAATTTCAATAGTTTATAAACTGTAATTATCTAAACATCAGAGATTTTAATTATTGAAATGTTAGACCCACTTCTTTACTTTACTTCTAAACCTGACAAGATTTGAGGGGAAAAAAAACAAATTGAAAGTTCAAGAAAAAATTGGTAGAATAATATGACCAGGGTAAATACTTATTGGCTGATATTTCAGGCAACAAAATTTTATCAAGCCTGTCAATATAGCAAGTAACGGGCCTGTTGGCATAATGGTTAAAAGGCCCGTTGTTATAAACGGTGGATGCTCAAACTTTGCTTGAAAATGTTTTTACTTTATTATTGTATTAATTGTTATTATTCAGGTTATTTTAGAATGTTCACTGTAACCATGATGATGTTCGCTGTGACCATGATGATGTTCACTGTGGACGTAATGAGATCCTAATTTGTGAAGACTACTGAGATAAAATTAAAAACTTAAACTGATAAGGACTTGCGATACCGTGTCCTGGTAACGTTAAATCAAAGTTCATGTAAGCCGTACTTACTCCTATAAACACACCCAGGCTGATGGATACCGTGTCCTGGTAACGTTAAATCAAAGTTCATGTAAGCTGTGTGTTTATAGGAGTAAGTCAGGCTGATGGATACCGTGTCCTGGTAACGTTAAATCAAAGTTCATGTAAGCTGTGTGTTTATAGGAGTAAGTCAGGCTGATGAATACCGTGTCCTGGTAACGTTAAATCAAAGTTCATGAAGGCTGTGTGTTCATAGGAGTAAGTCAGGCTGATAGATACTGTGTCCTGGTAACGTTAAATCAAAGTTCATGTAGGTCGTGTGTTTATAGGAGTAAGTCAGGCTGATAGATACCGTGTCCTGGTAACGTTAAATCAAAGTTCATGTAGGCTGTGTGTTTATAGAAGTAAGTCAGGCTGATGAATACCGTGTCCTGGTAACGTTAAATCAAAGTTCATGTAGGCTGTGTGTTTATAGGAGTAAGTCTAGGCTAAACCTAAATTTATGGAGCCTTTGTCTTAATCCTGTTTTAGGGAGAAGTAAATGGGTCAGTACTACAGGTAATCTGTACTAATAGAATGCTATAGTGAGCTGTAATATTCATTAATTTTCCCTCTAGATATGAAGAACTACATGATAGATTCATCTGATAATAATTTTGGATTTTCAGACACTTCAAATTTTACACCTTCTTGCTACTCAGTGCTCTGTTGACATTTTCTTTGTTGATCGAGAACGTCCACGCTATCGTTTGAATCCTAAACAAGGACAACAAACAAACGCAGCTGGTCACACTCAGTCCTCCCGAGTCAAGGAAGGAGACCCTTCAATTTCTGAACAAAGAGAAGATGGAACCAAATCCAGTAAAACAGTATCAGGTTCCCGTTTAATTGGAGAAAAACAAGCTGATGGATCTGTTAGTATTTGGCGAACTTACTACTTGGCTAGTCAGTGGATTGATCTACAGACTATTCGACGAATCCACATGGGTTTCCAACTATGTGCTGTTCTTATCCTATTAAAGGTAGCTCACAAACGTGCTTGTCTATAAAATATACATGAATATGTACAATTACATAAACAATATCTGTAAGGAAAAATATATAAACACAAAAACTCGCCAGTGTTTAACTGTTATCGTCGTGTAGCTTAATAGATGACTTAGACGTTGATTTGAAGGAAGTCAAGAATATTTTAAACTTGCCAGTAATCAAAATTCGTTGTTTACTTGAATAGTGAAGAATTTGCTTTAGTAGTTGTATAAGAACAAAGAATTGGTGTTGACTTATCACAGATTCTTTTAGTAAGTTATCAGATTTATTGAATGTAATTTCCCATGAATGTTTCATTGTGTTCTTTCAAAATCAAAATATTTTCTTTAACTTGAGCCAATCATTCCCTACTGATTAGTTTTCTGGACTGTGGAGCTGAGGTTCCACAGTTCATGGGTGCATCCTTACTGAGTAGTTTTCTGGACTGTGGAGCCACAGTTCATGGATGCATCCCTACTGATTAGTTTTCAGGACTGTGGAGCCACAGTTCATGGATGCATCCCTACTGATTAGTTTTCTGGACTGTGGAGCTGAGGTTCATGGGTGCATCCCTACTGATTAGTTTTCAGGACTGTGGAGCTGAGGTTCCATGGTTCATGGGTGCATCCTTACTGAGTAGTTTTCTGGACTGTGGAGCTGAGGTTCCAAGGTTCATGGATGCATCCCTACTGATTAGTTTTCTGGACTGTGGAGCTGAGGTTCCACAGTTCATGGGTGCATCCCTACTGAGTAGTTTTCTGGACTGTGGAGCTGAGGTTCCATGGTTCTTGGGTGCATCCCTACTGAGTAGTTTTCTGGACTGTGGAGCTGAGGTTCCATGGTTCATGGGTGCATCCTTACTGAGTAGTTTTCTGGACTGTGGAGCTGAGGTTCCAAGGTTCTGGGTGCATCCCTACTGATTAGTTTTCTGGACTGTGGAGCTGAGGTTCCAAGGTTCATAAGTATATCCCTACTGATTAGTTTTCTGGACTGTGGAGCTGAGGTTCCACAGTTCATGGGTGCATTTATAAAAATGTTGGTCAAATCTCACTGTTTGATCAGAGGAGAGTAGCCCAAGAGTTGACAGTGGGTGGCATTGAAAAGTCACCTTCCTCCTGGTCTGTCACTTCAAAATTAGATATGTCTTGTGCAAAAATTCACCAGTTTTAAAAATTATTTTTTTCTAATTCATAGTTTATTGTAAAGAGTATAATTAATATAGCTGTATTCTAGATTTGTTTCCATTTTGTCTGCAAATGAAATTTCATTAAAATATTTTTTTTTAATTGAATGTAAATCACCGATCCATTTAAGAATCAATTTTAGTTTTTATTTATTTTTTTGTTTTGCAAAAAAAAACGAAGATCTGTGCAAAAACGTAATAACATTAAATGAAATTGTTTCTTAAAAGACTTTAGGATTGGAAAATCTAGCTTTGGCAGACACTCAAAAATCGTTATTAGTAACAGAAGATCGAAAAAATACTCCTTTCAATGCAACCTGTCGACTTGCTATAGGTGGCGCCATCTATCTTGGAGTTGCTATAATACAGGTATTTATTTATTTATTCACAACACTGATATAGTTCAGTGTTAAGCAGTAGTTATACCACATTGTGTATAAATATGAATCATTAACAATGATACCTCAGCTAATTCTGCTTGGCGTTTTTAATACGTAAGAATTTAGGCCTTGTTTATTGTTTTTTACTGTTAAAAGAATTGTATAAGCTAAGACAAGGTAGGGAAGAACAGATTGTGTTTATAAATTAAGGTGTAAAACATTGAATAAATCAGTGTTCTGTGGTATGTAGAGATGGAATTAATCTTGTATATATATTATGTGGTAAAATTTGAGCTATATTTACAGGGTCAAATGGTCTTAAAAGTCCATTATAAACAACAAAGTTACTGGGGTGAATCCTAGTTGCATGATGATTTTCAAGATTAGCTTTCACTCGTAACAGAAAACAAAGTTAGTCATTGCCTTGTTGTTGCTAATCTTCATGTACTGAACATACAAAGAAATGTTTGAATCTAGGATAAATGTTTATTATGATTATGTAGCTCTAATGATGACCGTATACTTTGTGTTACGTCTCTGTTTGTTAATTAACTTTCCGTAACTTCGTTCCGAAAAAATTTTAGCGACACAAGTTCTTTACTTAATAAAACT